ACTTGGGAGTCTACCCATTCGATAAAATTAAAAAACGCCAGGGTCTTTAAATAAAACTTAGCACTTTCTTTGTACGTTGGACAGATTGTCCTATATCTTAACAACAAGATATATACGATTGCTTGGATAACCTTCTGGACGAGAAACGTTGTCTTGTCTGCGAGAACAGCCCAAGAATTTTGATCGCCGTCGTTCTTTGAAGCACAAGCCGCAGCAAGGAGAAATATCTCGATGATGATCAAAGCGTAGGATATTACTCCAACAACAAGTCCCATTGAGGGTTGCTGTCTTGCTAAGGTAGTTTGCTGGGCCACGTTTTCAGCTTTCGAGAAGAAAAATACCGCCCCAGCCAAAACAAAGACGATTCCAACAAGAAAAACCGTGGGCAGGCGGAAGTATACTCTAACTTCTGAGTTGAGCGAATTGCAGAACACATTTACACAGGCTAACAATGTCCCTATTAAAAAGAGGGCAGAGGTGGCGCAGGATGAAAGCATCTGGGCACAAGCTCTGAAACAAACGCCAAGTATGCTCAAGGTAAGTAGGGCGAGGTAGAAGAGCAATGCATAAAACCCAGCGATGACTTGAGACGCAGTTTCTGTTTTGTTTACAACACTTGGGGTAGTGGAAAATTCGACATTCCATTCGCCAGACGGTGGGTTTCTGTTTCCAAGGTCCAAATCCATATTGACAGGAACGAGGTTTAACGAATGAAGGTCTGTCCGGAACAAAACGACCGGTAACTGTCATAAACCTTATGCTCGCCTTGTGTGACACAACAGCTAACAGCTTCGTGGAAGCAATCTGCATAAATTTATCTCAAGTAATCTGATATCAGTCGACAAATCAATATCAACATGTTGTTGTTTCATTTTCGACTTTTTCGTTGAGATGACTCAGAGTGCAACCAGAAAGCGACCAATGAAAAATCTGGTTTTGAAGCTGAATTTCCCCTGTTTAAGTCGACGTAATGCAGGTTGGAGACTTTCTTATCTACACTGGCAC